TAACCTGCGCTCTAATGGTAACATACAGTGCTTCGCTCTCTGATATGAATCACCTAACACGTTCGGTGTTTGTTTTAATGGGATTCTAACACAGAAACGACCATCTGCGAGGCGAGTTGTGTTCTTTAAAAAATGTTCTTCACAATGCTTCTCTTCTGGAAAATAATGAGATGACTGACGGCCAACTTCTTCGAGCTGCCAAAACCGCGTAAGTTGGGTTTGAATGTCATCATCAGAACAGTGAGAAGTCACGGAATCAACTTGATTAAAATTACATTTCATTTGTGGAAAATAAGATGTACGGCCGCAATTGACAGGACCGGAAACTATCCAACCTAGTTTAGTTTCATAAAGTATCGGCATTCCATCGCCTAATTTAATATTTTGCGAACCTAAAATGTCCCAAAAAACATCAGCGCCGATGATCATATCAATGGCGGCGGGCGCATAAAACTTAGGATCCGCTAAACAAATATTCGACGGAATATTAAAATTCTTAATATCAATCTGACACCCGGGAACGTTATCAGTAATCGACGGCAGAATAAAACAATTTATAAAACTAGAGTAACTTTCACTCAAGGATGCGATAGGCAATCGACACATTTTATTAATACTCGACGTTTTATTATTTATACCTACAATAATTCTATTAGTTCGATCAGCTGGTAAGTTCAATTTGTTATGCAGTCGTTCGGTCATTAAGCACGATGTACTCCCGCTATCGAGAACAGCCCGAGCGACAACCTCGCGACCATTATAATCACGTAATTTTACCAACGCAGTCGATAATAAGACATTTACCTGGCTGGATGTATTGCATGCAGTGGTGATGCTTCCCGTAATGAGCGAGACACTCGGATTGCCCGTGCGCGTAGGCATCGAACTAACTATGTGGTTTTTATCGCGATCAACTGTGCGCTCGGCAGGTATAGGTATCTTCGTAGACAGCTGATTAGATGCGTCAAACTCGTTTATATATATGTATGTATAATAAGCGTGTGATGCCTGCGCTTACACACTTTACAACCAGGACGTTTACAAGAATTAGCGAAATGTCCACTACGGAAACAATTAAAACAAACCCTATAACTAGGCAGCAATTTATATCGCGCTGCGCTATTTAACGCTAGAAACTTCGGACAATTATTTAAATAATGATCATCATTACAATTAGGGCATCGCTTCGGCGACGATAAATTAGAATTATTTTTATTGTGATCTTGATAAGAAACCATAGTTTTTATTTTAGTCGAGTTCTTGTTACTTATTGTATTATTCTGTGACAATTCAATTGTCTCAATTAAATCTGTACGATTACGCATAAATAAAAGAATGGCTTCGAAACTTATTGGCTTGTCTTTAGGCAAATTACCTTTGTGTTCTTCCCACTCACGGAATGTTTTTATATCTAATTTTTGTGTAATGATATAAATCAATAAAGTATCCCAGTGATCGATCGGTTCACCGAGTGATTCCAATGAACGTAAATTCTTATTTACCTGGTCGATCAGACGCTTCAAATTAACAGAGGACTCCTTTGTGACAGGTTCGATATTAAATAAGGATGCAACGTGATTTTGTATTAATAAACGATTGTTATCAAAACGATCACACAAAAGCCTCCAAGCGATAGGATAATTACAATCTGATAACTCAATGGATTTAATTACCACAGCAGCAGAACCTTCTAATGATGCTCTCAAATAATGAAATTTGCTTATTTGGTCAATTTGATTATTTTTATCAATTAAACTCGAAAATGTATCACGGAACTCCATCCACGTTTCATATGAACCACAAAATTTCGGCAACTGAATAGTGGGTAATTTAACTAAATTATGTTTGGAACGGGTAGAATTATTTTCACTTTCTACTTTATTTTGAGCCTTTTGACAATTATCTAACATTCCCTCTGCATTAGCAAGTACACGATAATAATTATTTTCAAAATCAATTCGTTCGGTTGTTTGTAAATCATCATCGGAAAGGCACTCAATCTTCAATTGTATCTCATCGTAAGCGTCATATAAAGGTTCAACCTTACCAATTCGTAGTTGTAACTCCCTGGCCTCCAGACCACTCAACGAGGATCCTTCTAAAGTCGTTAAATAATTCGCGAACGCAGTTAACTGTCTTTTAATAACGCTTCTTTTTTTGATTAAGTCTTTTTCGTCAGAATTTCTGGGAGACTGGGGTCGACTTGGCACTTTTAATTCCTCTGTCATCCTGGAATTTATACAGTAATAACGTTTACTTATGTACTAGGCTATTTATTACAACAGGTATGTATCCTATCCTATGCTATAAATTTATTACCTGCGATGAGACGATACAAATTTTAAATAATTTTACACCTACCGTATTCAAATTATATTGACTGATTTTTACAAATAATTAATACAAATATTGACACAAAATAATTACGAATTGATTGAATTAATTGAGAATAACAAATAAATAAGGCTAATTAATGTCAATTAAATGAATTCATCTACTATGTCGTACAATATGTCGGTACCTACAATTGAAAATTAAAAATTATGAGTGTAAAAATAATGATAAATTCGTTGAAAATAATTGGTAGTCAACTCAAACAACAGCATAAATAATTGACCACCATAACTAAATTTATCTACACTGCAAGTTTTCACAATAATCTGTGACTTGTCGTACTTGTCGTACAAAATTACACAGTTTAGTTAGAAATTAGTAGATTGAATATTACTAACCTTATATAAAACTCAATTGTACACCTAAAAATACCTGATTAGAGTGTTGGGTTCTTAAATTAATTTATTTGCTCCACTTCACAAACGTTTTTTTCCGTTATACTTTGAACTACTCTCGACCACTCTTTTACGATGCGCAATCCCCAATGCAATTACTGCGCGTAGAATCCAAATGCGAAGTAAACCGGTTTCGTAACCAATGAATCAGCTGGAACTTAATATCTGGCGTAGATTAGGACCATGTAGGGGTCTGGTATTAAAAGGTGCAAATTAATAAAATTCGGGTTTTTTACAAATGCGTGTACTCGCTTGAACCAACAGAAAAGGAATAAAATAATGAAAAAAAAACCGTTACAGCAACTTAAAACTAGTGATGTGGCGAGTCGATTATTCGTTTCGAACACTTACAGCAGGTGATTTTTTTAGAAAACTATCATTACATTTGATGCCAAATGCTGTCAATAGTATAAGATTTGCCTAAATCTTTTTAAAAGAAACAGAAAACCTATTCTCGTCTGTGAGTCAGGGACATCCGTTGCTGATTGGCTAACATTTCTCACTATTCCCAGTAGTCTTACGTATATAGGAATTCTAAGTCTGGTGCCTCCATTTCTTTTTTCATGAGTAGGATTTTCGTTTCAGTTCATATATTATTTGAATTTTTCTACATAATATCTATGTTTTATGTCGTATTGTCGCATATTATTTTATTGTTTCCGTATATAGTGTTTGATCTCTTAAGGCCTTCAAAATTTTAAAGTTAATTTAAGTTAACAAACAATTTTATTAAATTAAAGATATAATTATGAATTGAAGAAAGAGGTTTATTGACCACTCAAAATGAGTACATTTAGCAAAAAAAAAAAAAAATATATATATATAAATATAGAGCGGCGTTAACATAACCCGTAGCCTCTGTGGTTAAATACGACGATTTCAAACAGAAAGACTGATGCAACTGCTGATGACTGATGAAAGTACATAATATAATGTTCAGTCATTTTGCAAATTTTCATGTTATACAATTAGAAGTATTGCCTTAAAATTTATGATACTTTCTTTTACATGTTTACATATAGCGTGTTAAGTTCCCTTAACACGCAGTTAATATTCCACGAGCACGTAAAAAGTTTTTAACTATACGTAAAACACCAGTTTTCAACTCCATATCTGACATCCTGAGCGTAGCGGATGTTACCGCGTTTTTCCTGAAGACGGCGCAGTCGCGTACTTAAAAACTGTCTTCCGGCGCTGGCTATCTAGACAACTTATGCATGTTTAGATAGTAGTTGTGTATGCGAGGATAAATATAGGGTTATAAAAATCATGAACCGTATGAATTTGAGTATACTTAATGGTATTAAAGTGGATGTGAATGAAAACTATTGTAATTATAGTACAGTTTTCAATAATTTTTTGTTGGAAAATTGTTGCAGGGACAATATGAAAAACCAATTGTTTAAAAATAATCCATTTTACTCACATTACTGCTAAAAATTAGTGTTTTATGTTTAGTTTTTTACCCCTCCAAATCAGAATATTGTGTTAAGGGTAAATAATAAATATACTTGAATGTATTTGAGGTTTTTAAATTACTTAAAAGAAAAAAGATTTTAAATTACTTAAAAGAAAAAAGGAATAAGTGCTTGAAAAATTCTATAGTCCTATTAGATATTAGTACTTATAGGATTTTCAATGATAGGTAAGTAGATATTTTATTCATAGAGAAGTGTTTCATGAAGTACTTCTTAATCAGTCAATATAATTCATGTAATCTTAGTATAATATTATTCTGAACAATAAATTTATAAGTAAATCTTATATTTAACAGGTTAAGGTTTAAACCCTTTAGCTTTTTCGATAAAAATCTAATATAAACGAAAATTCATTTACCTTCACATACACTCACATTCTTATCATCCCATAAAATAACATTACCATACCGTTAATTACGGTTCCCTTGTACTAAGTTATGCACTTTAAAACGACATTAACATTAGTGTACACCCCTTTAAGCATTCCACGACAGTATAACAAATAAATGGCTCTATTCGACATAACGTATCGCCAGTCCCATGCGACGATTGCGTCAACTTTGTAATTAACAATAAAGCCTTGTTCGCGTTCGATTTCACTAATTATTACATTGTACTTAAACTAGTCACTAGTCACATAGATATTTACTCCTTTATAAACGGTATTCCAACATATCTGGTATTTGTAATAGTTAAACTAGGGAGGGGGAACTAACGATGAAACATATCAATAATGACAAGCCCCAGACGAACTAAAAAGACTGGTGCTCAGTGTATCATACAAAACGTAGACTGGGATTCTCCATCTGCGGACACTGGAACTGTGAAACGACGAAGATCTTGCCCAGAAAATTCGAAACAATCGCTACCAACCCAAGAAGCTATTTTCGAAGTACAAACTCCATCTGATTCGGGCAGTGGAACCTCCAGGAGTATTGATGATACAGACAAGTCTGATTCTCTCATAGATATCGAACAAAGAATTTCATGCATAATTAATGAAAGTAGATCTTCTAAAAGTAATTCCGAATCTAGTGATGTAGATATTTTTATTGAAAATTTACTAGAGAACCCTATTGACGATGAACTATTCGGTTCTGACAAAAATGATACAAAAACTCTTACATCAATTGGTACAGATGCAACATTTGTTAATGATGCTGCGAACGATAAAAAATGTAAAGGTAAAAGACTTAAACCCCCCACACCAGTAAAAAAAAATAACAAATCTGATGTTGCGAAAAATAAGACTACAATAGAATCTGAAAAAATAGGCGATAAGGCTACTGTACTGCCAGTTTATAGATGTAGTTTACAGGGATCTAGTATAGATTTTAATGCTAGTAATCAAAAGAAAAAAGGCACTTCAAAACTCAAACTACCCTTTTCTCCAAACAAAACAATGGATAAGCCTAAAATAAACTTTTTTCAAAACAAAAATAATGTTCAACAAACAAAATCACCCTTGCTCTCTTCTCCCGTGCGAAGAACTATATCTAATGAATATGTGAGGTTAAAGTTTACAAATGACACTGTTATGAGACGAACTATAGACGGAAAATCTATACCAAAAATAACACCAAAAATACAGTCAATAATACCGGAAAGTCCTATTGATAACGAGGACCCGTTTTTAAACCTCAGCCCTAACAAAAAATATACAGTGACAGTGAATAATAAAGTGCGTTGTGACAAGGATAATTATGTGATATTTGATCCCAACACTGGTTTTAATCCAGAAGCAAAAGCGAAACAATCATTGATACCGTTAAAATCACCTAAAGGAGAAAAATCGCGTATTCCATTAAAATCGCCTGTTGGTGAGAGTTCAGGAGTGGCTCGTAAGTCCGCGAACGTTAGTGACACTGACAGTGGTATTCTTTCTCCGAATTCACCGGAGACAAGTGAAAAGGGTGCTTACTATGTCAACGCTGCTGCATTCAGTGCGACCGCAAAGAGATATGCAGATTTGGACATCACCATTCTTGATCCTGTCCTAGCGAAGAAAGCTACTGAGCAGATCAAGGTGAGTTAATTTGTTCTAGGTATTAAGTAGAATTAAAAGTCAAATTTAAGATGGAATCCTTCGAGCGTCTTTTCGAAGTCTAAAAATAAAATCGGCCATACATCTTAGTGCCAAAGATCGCAGACATAATTTAACTTCCGCTGGAAAAGCCATTTTTCATGGGTGCCGTTCTCGCAACCCGCTGTTGCATGCTTGGATTTCTTTTAGGAAAGTTTCATAGTGCTTCTACAGTTTAGATTAGTCAGGTTATATAGAAATCTATATTCTGTGACAATTGTTCACATAATCTAATGAAATATAGGCATTCACTAGTTATAATTTTACTTTTTCTGATTTTTCTTGTATAAGTTGTGTTAATAATGTAGAACATCCCTTAAAATATGTGATTGTTTAGAAATTGGAAGGCTCCAGTTCAATTTAGGTACCACTAGAGACATGTTACGATTTTATCAAGTTAAAGAACTAACCAAACAGGTGAAATACAATTTTAACAACTACTTTTTTAGTTACTTAGTTTACAATACATAATCAAAATGAAAGTTTCTCACTTATATATCTTCAACAAGATGTTAATAAGCTATTTTAAAACATCATACATAGCGCCATCTAGTGTGAAATAGAATAACTAATGCACTGTTTATTTATTTTTTAAGCAATTCAAATAAAAAATCTTTATGTCTTTTTTCACATAAATCTTATATAGCAAATTAATTGTATATATAAAAAAATATAGTATCAATACAACTGAAAAAATGGTAGCAATTAGAATAGCATGCTCCGGAGAGCAGGTGTGAAGCATGCGACATTAAGCAGACGAAATGTATGCTATCTTGTATTCACTACTCGTCACGAGATGGCAGTAATATCGAGTTGTAAAGCGCCATCTAGGAGACGTTTACAGAACTCACCGATCATCTTTACCCTTATTCATTTTGTGGAGAGCATTTCCCGTGATAAATATCAGACGACAATCGCTGCTATTATTCGGAAGCAATCGTGCAGTTAATTTCGAAATGGGTCCATTTAGCGAAAATAACGTGCCCACACGCGGTGGAGTCACTTTTGTTATAGCAACAGTCTCGTATGCATGCCCAATTATTGCTGCCACTGATTGTATGTACATCAACATGCCGCATTGTTCGTGTGTGATGATGTGCGGCGATAGATACTATCATTAGATGTCCATTTTGTCGCTTTTGTAAGTGAAGGGGAAGAGTGTATTTTGTTTTTTAATAATGAATGGCCTGTTGATGCGTAATCGATAGTTCGCGATGAACAAAATCTATGAACATTTGGAAAATACAAAAGCAATAGGGTGTGAAATATTTTTTTACTTTCTATTTTAGGTAGGCTATGTAGGCTTGAGAGTTTAGATATTTGTCAATTATCTTTGGCACTGAAATACAACTAATATTATAATTTATTATAACTAAAAATATTTATTCGAATTTTAAGAGTATTTCATAGACGACAAACTTTAATAACTGTTTGACTAGGCAGGTCTGGGTGTGAAGACAAAAGATAGTCCCTATCCATCTTATTGCTCTCAGCATTATATTTTATAAATTAAAAAAAAAATGTTGTTATAATAATAGTAACTACATAATAGTGTTGCACATAGCCTTCAGTTACAAAGTAATTCTCCTATTTATCAATTTTCCCTATAAAAACGAACATAATCACGTTATCTAAATTTAAGGGGTAACTTTCAAAATATCTATAGAGTATATTTAATAAATCCTCGTTGTGACTATCATAAAATCTTTACAAACATTTTCTAATTTTTAATTACAGCTTATTTGGATGATTACTAGTTAGAAACCGAGTATAATTCCTCCATTTTTGATTTACGTACTGATTTAAATAAGACATGAAGTTAATACAAAAAGGTTTCATAAATATTTGATCGGAGTATTTGTTTTAAATATTATCGATAACAATAATTGAAATATCATATTCAGAGACACACTTTTATTATGAGACAGCTAAGTACGTATGCAGCCCACGAATGCAGTAATCAGACGATTCTCACAGAACAAATAGGGTTGACACTTGTAAATAGCGTTGACACTTCTACCAAGTTTTTTTTTTAATAATAAATGGGAAAATAAGTCCAATACTGTAATCAAGAGTAGATCACCGGCGTAGTGGATAAGCACCGCGATCGGTGTTGTTAGGCTACTTTCGCAAGGGTCTTTCACGGGACGGGTGACCAAAAAGACTATTTTTGCTTCGGAAGGCACGTTAGACTATTGGTCGCGGTTGCATTTGCAATTGTTAATACCCTCCAATCCGTATTAGGACGGTGAGAAGGGTCATAGCCTCATTATAAGGAAGCCCTGAGCCCTTGCAGTAGGGACGTAAAAGGGCTGATGAATGAAATGAAAATTTAGTTCATTTTAATTTCTTTCTAATCATTTTTTTTACACATTGCTCACCCGATGTTATATTGATTTTAAAAAAAAATCAACGAGCCAGAACCTTTTTATTTCCAACTTGGTCTCGGCTGCGCTGAATCGAAAACACACACCAATCCGTATTGGGTCCATTTAGTGAATTACGTCTTGTTCTTACTATTTGATTCCGTACAACAAGGCATTACTAGGGTGATGATGATGGAGGGTGTACAGACACTTCGGTAACTTTAAAGCAAGAAAGACGAAATATTTTAATAATAAAAAAAAACTATTTGTCCGAGTTAGATATTTTGTGGGCAACTGTACATGAATCAGAGATATTTTCCGAAACGACAGCAATTGCCATGAATAACAATATGGCCAAGATAAAACAAGATATTAAGATTGTAGTTGCGTTAAATCAGCAAGTAGCTCTCACTGTCTTTTAATATGACTTGCAAATACTAACTAGATGTGGATACTAACTAGACATGTATCGTAGTATTGTAGTTATTAGTGAGTTATTACAACAAGGAGGTCGACATCCTTATTCTCATAAATTCCGATTTGCCTGTAGTATTTACATTAAATTACAAATAAGGCACGCGTTTCGCGATGCCGTTTCCGATGGTTATCTACATTTCTATGGCGACAGCTTGTATTTCTAATATGTGCTGTAGTTATTGTTAAATATATAGAAGATTTTAACTAATCGGTTGCAAAAAAATTATAAGAATTATTGTAAGTCTATCACCTAAATATTGAGAGTAGGCTGAATAGGCTGATTTCATTTTCATAAAGTCGACTTTAGGTAACACAATAGAAAATTCAAAAGGTTGAGTCTTACACACAATGCAAGGTTATACGAGCTTTCCACCAGCGGCTTCGCCTGTGTGGTTCATATAAACATCAGTCCCTATTTCAACCCCGAATTTCTAAAAATTATTACTTAGTGCTCACAATTCATGAAAGGACCAAATTTTATTTTTGTACCAAATTTTAACTTTCAAGTGACGGTAGTTTCGGCTGTGCGTTGAGATATAAGTTAGTAAGGCTTGTTATTTATATAGGTATATAGATTTCAGATGTTTGGTAAGTATACAAATTATTAATTGTGCTAATAGCTTTAAGATTTCTTTTCAGTTATATAATATGTGTACGAGTATGCTTAATAAATAAATATAAGACAACATTAGTATTTTTTGTTTCGAAATTAAGTAGTGAATGTACTGGTTTTATGAAAATCAGAAATCAGAAATAACACTACACCCAGACTCGAGATTACATAGAAAAGTTACATTTTTACATTGACCAAACTGGGAAACCCAGGACGGGGTTTGGAAGCTCAAAGAAAGCGATACCTCGAAATCGTTGTACTAGTCAATGTGCTGTCATAATCAGTCATAACTGAATTTTGAATAAATTTTAAACAATATTTAGATACCATTCGGCTATCCGGCCTTTATATGTCCCCACTCCAGGGGCTCAAGCCTACCTTATGGATGGTTAAGGAGGATGAGCATTAAAGACTGCAAATACAACCGGGAACAATGGCTTAATGTGCTTTCCAAAGCATGGGGTAGCCCGAGATAACATTTTTTTGGTCACCCATGCTCTGACCATCCATTGCGAAAGTTGCTTAACAGCAACGATGTGGGTTGCGGCACTTATCTACTACATCCCTGAGCTACCTTTTAAGTCCTACAACATACCGAATAATTTACTATGACATCTCGAATCCACAAATGTCCAAAAAGGTTTAGTAGCATAAAAACTTTTTACATAAAGCTGGAATGTCTAAAAAGATTTTAAGTAAGAGTCTCCTTAAATTAGGGTAATACGAAAGACAGGGGAGAGGTCGAGTTCCCCTAGGTAGTGCAAATACTCTTTACTTATTCTATAGTTCAGGTAAATTCAGTAAGAAAGATTTTCTGATAAGAAAGATAGAAGAAAGAAAGAATGAATGACTTAATGTTACAGCTTAAATATTGTTATTGTAAGTTTTTAAGTTTTAATTATATTTTGACATTGATTACACAAAAAAAATATTTCAAAAATTCATACAGCTTTTAAAAATTGTAACGATATCTACGAGAGCATTGAACTTCGAGTGCTTTAAAAATTAAATTGAATAATGGTTTTCAAAGTTAATAGTATATTGATTCCTCTAAAAAGTATATTTATTTATTTATTTAATCTTATTTGCCTACAGAAATAGACAAATGGCGGACTTAATGCCAAATAGGCATTCTCTACAAATAAATTATTTCTTCTTTAAAACTTAGTACCCTAATTAATTTTCCAATGCGTAGCTATAAATTAAGAAGGTGTAACTTCTGAGCATTTTACCACGTTCACCGCGAAAATTCACATGGCACTTCAGATGAAGATATTTTGTCAAATGAAAATGACTCTTGTAACTGAAGTTTAGAGTTTATAATATGAAAGTTGACTATACACTGCATGCGAGTGGGAATAATTCATTGCTTAATTTTGCGGAGTAGGGTTGAGTGCGGTTAGAGGGCGTATTTAAACAAGCCTTTTAGATACTAAAAGTCCTTGCTTTTGCGTACTAACATTTTGGCGTACAAAGTCTGGACTTTTTGTTTTGAA